ACGAAGATCCCGAAAGTCTCAGTACGGCAGTGGAAGTGCTCAAGGACGTGGAAGTCCCGGTGAAACAACAGACGCCATCCGAGGAGGGCGACAAGGAGGACCGCGAAATAGAGACGAGCAAGCTATTGGTACGTCTGATGAAGAAGGTTAGCCGATGTGAGGCATGCTGACCAAAGCTACAGGTGGTCGTTGACGAGAGTTCTCTCAAATATCTTGAACAATACCAGGCTACAAAGGGTGATCAGGACGAGGCTGAACGTCAATCCCGGATCGAGACGGCCCGCAGAAATCTTGCGTCTGTTCTTCATGATCTAGCTCATCCTACTGTTCCCAGTCAGAAGGAAGACGCTTCGGCCGTTGATCGTGAGGGCGATACAGCGATGCAGGATGCTGATGCCAAAAAAGAAGGCGAGGCTGCGGAAGTCGTTACGATACCAATCGCGGCTGAGGATGAACTCGCGGATATCCCTCCTGAGATGCGGGAAAGTGTTGCGAAGGAAATTGCGGCCTTCCGGGAGCGGAGTAACCGTCGGGATATGGAGCGCCTGAAGAGAGAGGAGGAGATAGAATCCATGGAAAGAGCAAGGAATGCGTCCGGTTCGCGCATCAACCGACTGGCATCTCCACCGCCCACGGCGCCTAGCGGGCCTGCCGCAGGAGCCAACGGTGTCCCTCTTGGACCTCGCGCGGGACCTATGGGAGCTGGCGTGCAAATTCCCAAGGACTACCAGAAAGGGGTTAGTTTTGTTAACGGATATGGCATCTCCCTTGACCAGGAAGACGAGGATACCGATGCCAGTGATGAAGAACTTGAGCGGCGGCGACAAGAAAAGAGGGCGGCAGAATTGGAGAAGCAATATCTGGACCAGGAGCGCCGATGGTTGAACCGTGAACGGAGCCGGACGGCCGCGCTGGAACGAGAGAGGAATCGCGACAAAGAAGAAGAGCGGAAAGCGGAGGAGGCGAGGGAAGCGATGGCTAAACGGTTGCGGGAATGGAACGACGATGTCGAGGCCAGTCGCAAGGTAGAGGAATATTATGCGGATCGCGGTGCCTGGATTCGAAGTCGGGCTGCCTTCCGAAGTCGAGAAATCAAAATGGATGAAGCTGATCGTGCCGCGGAGGAGCGGGAGAAGGCACGATCCGCGCAACAACGAGAGCAGGCCCGTGGAATGGCGGACGACTTCCTGGCTCGACAAGCAGAGGAACTCGAATCGCGGAACCAGGCGCCTCGGGAGCCTCAGCGTTTCAAGCTGTCACTCGGCGCAGCCGCGCAGCAGAAGGCGCAGGCTGCGTCGACCCGTCGCACTGTGGCCGAAGTCGAAGGGTTGCTGGAAGACGAGGAGGAACCAGAGACGACGACAAAGCGCCCTCTTGTGCCGATCAAGTTCGATTCTGCGGCGGAAGCAGCTGGACTGTCGGACGAGGAGCGGGCGCAGGCGGCGCGACAGCTGGCGGCGGAGATTCCGACGGACAAGGAAGGGCTGTGGAAATGGGACGTCAAGTGGGAATTTGTGGACGAGTCGGTGCTGGGGGAGCAGCTCAAACCGTTTGTCGAGAAGAAGATCATGGAGTATCTGGGTGTGCAGGAGCAGATGCTGGTGGACGTGGTGGAGGAGCATGTTCGGAATCACGGACATCCTCAAGAGCTGGTCGAGCAGTTAGAAGAGGTGCGTATACCACTTTGACGTTCTCTAACTTGGTTCTATTGCTAACGTGAGTACAGGCTCTCGACGAAGAGGCAGAAGTGCTGGTGAAGAAATTGTGGCGGATGATCATCTTCTTCTCGGAAAGCGAAAAGCGAGGTCTCTCTGCATGATATCCTTCTATACTATGATAGGGATAGTGGCACCTGGGTCTTGTTATAACTCCAAGGATATATCTTGGTTTATATGGTGCATTATCTCTGTGTATAGTACATACGATACGATACAATCGAGGTCTTTTGCCTCTGATGTCTGAGGAGACATTAACATTAGTCCATTCGACAGGACTACTATAGTTTCTTCGACATGATCTTCTCCCGATCCCATTGACTGCTAGCGGCGTCATACAAACTCGGTTGCTGAATGATAGATAACGCAGTCAGAAAAAAAAATCAAGTTATTTGTTCCCATAAACTGAGTGCGGTACAGCAAGAGAAGAAAGAGAGATGTGATGGCTTTATAAAGGGCAGAGTCACTCGATACCAAGACTAGGATTGTATTCTGTAGTACTCCGTATAGCTGAATGAGTGAGGGGCACAATGCAGGTATATACATAATTTCCATATTGGGCAAAAACCCAAAGGGGTATCTACTCGAGGCCTGAGTGGTCTACTACTACTGCGGCTCAACAGCAGAGAACGTGAGCAGACATCACGTGTAGACCAACGCGTGACTCGGAGTACTTGCGAGATCTGTAGATCGCGACCGGCAATCCGCCGAAATTCTTCCCAGCGCCACTCCCTCTGATAGGTGGGAATATGTCGGGTCTGTTTTTCCACCAATCGGATGTTGTTAGACCGTCCCTCTCGGGCCCTTTTGTCCCGCGAAACACCCCGCGATACAGAGGAAGGAACTACTGCCAGGGGAGGAAGGAAAGAGGGGCAAATGGGCTGTCTTGCCAGAGTGGGATGAATGATGTCGCATGGCTCTGCGGAGGCAAGTTCGGGGCAATTCCTGCTTGAGTATATTATTCTATTCTTTCAACGGATCCTTTTTCTTCTCCCTCCCGTTTGAATGACGCATTGATTTCGTTTCACGACGAAAATCATATATATTCTTTCTGTTTACAGCGTTCTGTACATTGGGGTAGAGAGGATCTCTGGCTGCGTTTGAATAGAGATCGTGAATTCCAGCTGGACGACTTGAATCAATTCTATTCCCCGTCTTGGTGCAAGAGATACCCCCATCGTCGCCATCATGGTCAAGATCACCAGCTTTATCACGCGGGACGTGAGGTTTCCGGTATGCAGCAGACGTCTCAATCAATTGACTCGATCTTCAGAGTCGACCAATGTCTGGTGGATGTCGCTGACGTGAACAGACCTCCCTCGACAAGACTGGCTCAGATGCCATGAACGCAGCCGGTGACTACTCCTCCGCATACTGCATTCTCTACACCGACTCGGAATACGAGGGACATGGCATGGTAAGTCGAAACAATGAATGTATACGGACTGACAGAATGCTAATGCGATCGATATCTACAGACATTCACCATTGGTCGCGGAAACGACATCGTCTGCGCCGCCATCAGCATCGTCGCTCCTCTCGTCGTCGGAAAAGACCTCGACGAGTTGACGGCCGACTGGGGCAAGACGTGGCGCTACCTCGTCTCCGATAGCCAGCTGCGCTGGATCGGACCGGAGAAGGGTGTCATCCATCTCGCGCTGGGAGCTGTTGTCAACGCGCTCTGGGACCTGTGGGCCAAGATCCTCCGCAAGCCCGTCTGGCGGATCATCGCCGACATGACGCCCGAAGAGGTGGTCCGGTGCATCGATTTCCGATACATCACGGATGCTCTGACCCCAGAGGAGGCCATCGCGCTGCTGAAGGAGGTCGAGCCCGGCAAGCAGGACAGAATCAAAGAGGCGGAGCAGAACAAGGCGGTTCCGGCATACACCACGAGCGCAGGGTGGCTCGGTTATTCCGAGGAGAAATTACGGGCGCTCCTCGACCAGAGTGTCAAGAATGGGTTTAAACATTTCAAACTGAAGGTCGGAGGGAATCTGGAGGACGACAAGAGACGGCTGGCCATTGCCCGGGAGGTGATCGGTTACGACAAGGGCAATGTCTTGATGGTGGATGCAAATCAGGTACATAATCTTTCTCCTTTTGTTTTCCGCTGCTTGTTGGCTTCGTTTCGCTATCATTTATGTTCACCAGCTAATGTGCCCAGGTCTGGTCTGTCCCTGAAGCCATTGCCTGGATGAAAGAACTCGCTCAATTCAAGCCCTGGTTCATCGAGGAGCCCACGTCTCCGGACGACGTGCTGGGCCACGCGGCGATCCGCAAGGCTCTTGAGAACACGCCTCACGGCACCATCGGCGTGGCCACGGGTGAGATGTGCCAGAACCGGATCATGTTCAAGCAGTTCCTGCAGGCGGTGCCTTGACGGTGCTGCAGCCGGATGCATGCCGGGTGGGAGGCGTGAACGAATGCCTGGCGATCTTACTGCTGGCGCGCAAGTTCGGGGTTCCGATCGTTCCCCATTCGGGTGGTGTCGGGCTGCCGGAATACACGCAGCATCTGAGCACGATCGACTATGTCGTGATCAGCGGGAAGAAGAGTCTGCTGGAGTATGTGGACCACCTGCACGAGCACTTTGAACACCCAGCCAGCGTGAAGGATGGATATATCGTCACGCCCACGGAGCCGGGATACAGCGTGCAGATGAAGCCGGAGAGTATGGACCGGTATTCGTTCCCGGGCGAGGAGGGCAAGAGCTGGTGGAGGACGCAGGAGGCGAGGGCGATCTTGGACGGACCGCGAATTTAGACTGCCATTGTTGGTATACTGTTGATATATTCGGGAGTTGGGAAAGCAGTCTTAAAAAAATTCACCTCTAATTGAATGTTATGTTTACGACTCGCAAATGAGCAATATAAAAAAATATATATACTTGTATATAGATTAAATTCAATTTAAATACCTTCTGTACATAGATCCTGTATCTCTGTACCCCGCACCGAACGATGAAAATCAACCGACAAGTCGGCTCTGACGTAATTACCCAGATGAGTACTGTACATGTACTGGCGCAGCTATATTCCTTCAGCGTATATAGATCGAACAATTAAGTATTCGTTATTTATTCTAAGTAAGTGACAAGATGGCTATTTTTCTTCCCCTTCACTTTGAGTGCTGATTGGATTGCATGCAGCATGGCGGGACATAGGTAATATTTCAATTCCAACTGCACCTCCTCCGATTTCGCAGCCTTTAAAGTTTTTCAGCTGCAGGTGTGGGGTATGGTACATTGCACATATCCTCCTTACAATCTTACATTTGTCAAGCATTGTGTAGAGAATCTCTATGTACTTTATTTTACTCTTAGGATCAATTCCTGTCTCGTGCTAGAAAGAAGAGTATTGGCTGTTAGTCTCGTCCTCAGATCGACACCTCAAGGGTTCACAAAGTCCGTCACAGTCGACCTAGTCATTAACATACTTAGTTTTTATCACATACACTGTTGATATATTATCGATCAGTCAATTAGTCAACCAGTCAGTTTGACGCCATGGCTGGCGAGACGTCCAAATCGTTGCAAGACCTCTGCGCCCAGGTCAAGGCTCTCCTCCCGGAGCAGTTCCGGCAGGATGCGTGGTATCTCATTGTTGTAAGTTCTTTACTTTAATTGAATTAGGCTGCATTCAATTCAATTCAATTAAATTCTCTATACTTATATAATAACCTCGATTAATCCAAACCGTCTCTGTTGTAGGCCTCTGTCCTCGTCGCATCCGGAAAGCCCCTCGAACTAGGTCCTCTGTACACATATCTCGTCGAGAGTGCGGGCGCAGACGACGCGGAAGAGAAGAGCCTCAAGACGCGCCTCAGCGATGCCCTGATGAAGGAATGGACGCTGGTGGGCATTCCGTTGGTCATCACCGCTGTGGCAGCATTGGGGAAAGCAGAGAAGGAGAGGAACGAGAAGAGAGGAGTGAAAGTTGAGCCTCTTACGACGGATGAGAGGGGGTTGTTGGCTTTTCCTGAGAAGCGGTGAGGATAGCAGGACTCATTCTTCTTCTTTTCTTTCTTCTTGAAGATAGCCTATTTATTAACGCCAATATCTCCCCAGACAAAACCTCGACATCAACACTGCCATCCCAGACCGCGGCACCAAGTTCCTCCAACAGCTCTACCGCGAGAACCTCGAGCCCATCTTCTCCACCTGGGGCTCGTACGGGCCGGACTTCATGTGGATGGAACGCGCCGTCATCTACGGGCTGTTCCTGTCTGACCACGAGGTCCTGTCGGCCGTCGAGGCCGAGCTGGTCATCCTGGCGAGCATCATGAGCCAGGGCCTAAGCGGGCCGACCATCTGGCACCTGCGGGGATTGCGACGGCTGGGCGTCAGCGAAGACGACGTCGAGAGCGTGCAGAAGGCTATCGAAGCGGTGGCTACCTGGGCGGGGAAGTCGGTCGAGGGGTGGCCCAGAGTGACGGACGTGCCGGACGTGATTTAAATCTTTGGCAAGGTCTACTTCAGATATGAAGACATAAGAGACAAGTTTAGATTTAGACTGATTTACGTGAGATCGTCGATGGATAGACATAAATATCTTCGGGAAAGGATTTAAAAAAAGATATCTACTGGAAAACGGGCTCCTTCCCCTGTCTCCGTCGTGGTTTGACCTGACCCATAGTTCCAGCCTTCTCACATTAGGACAATATACTGATCGGTGGGATTTCCAGGGCGTCTGGGAGACATGCCTACCAGGTACCATTGGTAGGCAGAGACAACGCGCCCCTTCTAACCACTAGGCCACAGGCCCTAATGGAGGTTACCTGACTGTCGCTCATAGTGATATTTAACTGCTACAGGGTTGCTTGTTCGGCTCGTTGGCTTGTCGCCTTTTTCTTTTTTCTTCGTTTACCTCTAGGCTAGGCTGACACAGCTGCTGCCTGGACTCCACACCAATGAAGTCTTGTATTGTTGATCCATCGAGTATAAATACAGGTTCGTTTGCTGGCCCGCGTCAACAACTTGACTGCAGACCAGGACGCTGAAGATCCAGCGTTGAAGAGACCACTATCGATACATTAATCGTGATCGGAATATCTTCCCTTCCATCAACCCAGATGGTACAGATCTGATCCACAGGCCTCAATTTCAGGACAGGACACGGTACTAGCCTCAGAAGTCGCGTTGACAACCTAATCTAGGCTACTTCTAGATTTGGAGTGTCTCTGGTCGTGCGACCGCGATTTCCAATGGTGTGCCACTCGGTCAGACTCGAAATGTACAGCCTGACACCGCGCCGACGGTCGATATGCTACCGCCACTGAATACCAAAGATCTTGAGAGGCTTCTTTCCGCCCAATGCGCTGTCGCTGACATTTTCAAGGTAAATGCGAGGATGGCCTGGGAGAATTAGATCAAAAGGAAGACAAAAAAAGGGCAGCTAATATCTACCTTTAACATCCAAGGCAAGAATGCGATACTGATATTCGTTCTGATCCTGCGGTCGCACCATATGAAGGATCACAGTACCAGAATTCAGCGGCCCCTCAACCTAGAAATGGTCAGCTTGACCATCACAATTCAGACTGCAGACCATTCAGCTTGCGTACATGAAAGCGCATCTTCAAGTGTTCGCGGCCCGATTGGTCCTTTTCTTCGGTCGTCCTGTTCAATGTCAGACCAACGATCCAGTCCCAACGGTCGATAGATACGCACGCAATCGGCCTGTTACGAGCCCACTTATTCCACGTCGACTCTCCGTATGCTTTGATCTGCTTGCTGTCACCTAGCAGTGCCGTACATCGTGGATCTTCCTTGATGCGTTCTACGGCTTTGTTGAACAGCCGCGTCTTGCTGTTCGGAGAGAAGACATCAAGGTAGAGGAACGTAAACACTCCACCCTATGCACTCCATCAGCAAGTATCGCATAAAGAGCCTTAACAGACAAGTCCCACCGTCATGACCGCGCCAATCACCACAAGCATAAAGTTGAACGACTGCTGCGTAGCCCGGGCGACTTTTTCTTTTCCACTCAGCTCCGACCACCGGAGTCTCCCATCGTCCGAAATGACCGTGATCTGTTTCCTCGTCGGACCCGAGCTGGACGTCGTCCCTTGGCCACCTAGACTGCTATGCGTCGCATACCGCCGGGGCAATCCACCGATCACGAGAGAGGTTGAAGTCGAAAGGAGGGCGGAGGGGGGTCTGGACGCCCGCAGGGGGCACGGGCTAAGTCGAAGAGATCGGTTCATGGTGGCAGCTGTTCATTGCCAGCATCACTGACATCGATGCTTCAAGCTTTGACTTCGCCAGCTTCCTGAAGAACCGATATTGAATGTGGAGCTAAATTGTACGGAGTCCTGCATTAAAGCTACGCGGGGGACCGGTAATCGGGCTGACGTATTATTACAGTCACGTGACTAATGGCTGCACAATGTGGTCGGCATTGTAATTTGTTGCGCATTATATTTGACATGTTGAATAGATCATATGAGATTCAGCTTGGACCAAACTCTACGCTTGCAACAATTCTACGAGATATTCAGGCTATGGAAGTCGAGCACACGTGGTATCGTACGAATGGCAGTACTGTGGCACTAGTGAGGTTGGCAAGCCAGTAGCTGAACAGCACCGCTGAGGAATGACGACAACTTGAATGCAGCAGAAGCAAAGACTCGATGAGGCGTCAATTAGTTCAAATACCTAATGAAATTCAAGATAGACGCTTGCACTTCTGGCACAAAATTTGCATACCGTCCACATTCGGTAACTTGCAAGACGGCCGGTAACAGACCTTTCCGAAACAGGAAAGAGGGTCGCCCGGAGGATCGACCAATGCAAATTGCAAATTTCCCCGATCGAGGCAGCGGGTCTCGCGCGGTATCCGACCACGTTCCCTCTGCCTGTCTCCTTACCGCAGCCTGTAACCTAGTCGTCTCGCCGCTGTTGTCTTGTTTCCTGGCTTGTCTTCGATTGACACGTTGCCAACTTTTCTTCTATCCTTCAGCTCGTGGATCTCTCGTCCTTCACCATGAGTGCCACGAAGGCGCAATCCCAGAAGATCTTCGAGAAGCTGAAGGCCAAGCCCGCAAACAAAGTGCGCCCGCCCTTCCCCTGGTCCCTGCATGCCTCTGATCGTCAAACTGACTCGATTTCAGATATGCTTTGATTGCGGCTCCAAGAACCCGACCTGGTCGTCGGTCCCTTTCGGCATCTATCTCTGTCTGGACTGTTCCTCCCACCACCGCAACCTCGGCGTGCACATCTCGTTTGTGCGCTCGACGACTCTGGACCGTATGGATACAGCCCCCACGGAAATGCGAATAAAAAGTATGGTGTGCTGATTGATGATCAGAATGGCAGTGGGATCAGCTCCGGCTCATGAAAGTCGGTGGCAATGAGTCCGCCACGAAGTTTTTCCAGTCTCACGGAGGATCCGCCGCTCTGGCGAGCAAGGATGTGAAGGTCAAGTACACGTCTAATGCGGCCGTCAAATATAAGGAAGAGCTGAAGAGACGGGCCGCTATCGATGCGCAAGAGTCAGTGCTTCTTCCCTGGACTTAGGCGGCAGCCAGGTTGACTCTTTGTCTCTAGGTATCCCGACGAAGTGGTGATTACCGACGACGTCCCTGCCTCTGGTGATGGCGCATCGACTGCGGATGGCGACGCAGAGGATGACTTCTTCTCTTCATGGGACAAGCCTTCCATCAAACGCCCTAGCAACCCCCCCTCACGGACTAGCACGCCGCCCACGGTTGGCCGCACCGGATCTCCCTTCCTAACCGCCGGCGCGAACGGGAATGGCACAACGCGACCCAAGTCTCCGCTCTCTAGCAGTGACAAGGATACCAGCTCTCCTCCTCCCACCGCTGTCCGATCGGGGTCCGTCGTCCGAAAGGGAGCTACGACTACGACCGCCAAGAAGGGCAGCGTATTGAGTTCTAAGAAGACGCAGAAGCTGGGTGCCAAAAAGGTTGGTGGCGACGCCATCGATTTCGAGGAAGCCGAGCGCAAGGCCAAAGAAGAGGCAGAGCGCATAGAGAAGTTGGGCTACGACCCGGAGGCGGAGCAGGCGGAAGCAGAGGCAAAGGAGAAGGCGGCAGCGTCCTCCGCCGCGGCTACGAAGATCGCGTCACCCACTCCGATCAGTCCTTCTCGAGGCGGGTTCGGAGCGACCAGCAAGACTCATGAACGAAGTCCAAGCGAGGTGGAGCGACTCGGAATGGGAATGGCCCGTTTAGGTTTTGGCCAAACCAAAGCCGCTCCGAAGAAGCCTGGATTTGGAGCTGTCGGTCCTGCGAAATCAGCTGTCGATGGTATGCTTCTGAACAAAACTATCTTGAAGAAGGCCAGGCTAACAGGACCTGTAGAAGAAGAATTGGAAAAGACCAAAGCTCGGTTCGGCAACCAAAAGGGTATCTCCTCGGATGAATTCTTTGGTCGGGATAAGTTCGACCCGGCTGCACAGGCCGAGGCCAAGGAGCGCCTTCGGAACTTCGAGGGCGCCACCGCTATCTCCAGCAATGCCTACTTTGGGCGACCAGAGGACGACCTTCCGTCTGCGGACGACTATGGTGGGTATGGAGATCTGGAAAGCGCGGCGAAGGATTTCATACGGCGGTTCGGAATCACCGCGGGAGATGACCTGGAGAATCTGACGCAGATGCTGGGTGAAGGAGCCAGCAAATTACAAGGCAAGTATCTCGACTTGTACAATTCGATGTCTTGTCAGACGACCCAACTAACTTGGCGTCACACTACAGGTGCTATTCGGAGCTACCTCAACAGCTGAATGAATCCTTCTAAATGATACCTAACCTGACGAGCACACACACAATGTTCACCGCAAGGTTAACTAACGAATTTTCTGACCCTGGTGTTCACATGTGAAGGTTTCAGACAGACACTTATATCTGCAAGACAAGAGAGATATGTTTCTTTTGTTTTCTTGTTCGATTCTACCTGTTTATTCTATTACCAGCTAGTTGTTGCTGCAGAGCCTTCTCCTGTCTTATTTTTTTTAACCCCTTCTCTTTTTACAAGCCACAATGTGGAAGTAGTGATGATATGGAAATAAATAGATTATTTTACACCTTATATTGTAGTATTTCTTATTTTCTTCTCTCCGTATACCACACTACGTACGATGCTGGTAGGCGTTATATATATAGATAGTAGTAGAATTATTGCCGTGTGACAAGAGTTTCCACTAAGAGTTAAGGTAATTTATTATCATTATCATAATTATCATCATCAAACTCGATAAATCGCATCAGCCATCTTCACAACCTGACTCATTTCCGCCACGTCGTGGACTCGCACGATGTCCGCTCCGCTGGCGACGCTGGCCGTCACGGCCGCCGCCGTGCCCCAGGTCCGCTCGCTCGCCTTCTCCACGCCCGTGATGCGCCCGATGTAGCCCTTGCGACTGGTCCCCACCAGCCAGGGGAAGTACTCCAGGCCCTCGATCTCGTTCCTCAGCCTCGGCATGTCCCGTAGCAGAGTCAGGTTCTGTGTCTGGCCTTTCGCGAATCCGAGGCCCGGGTCAAGGATGATGCGCCACCGACGGACACCCGCTTCTTCGGCGGCCCGGACGCGCGCGAGGAGTTCTGACCCGACGTCTTGGATGACGCCATTCGGGTAGTCGGTTAGCCTGGTCATGGTGGATGGCGTCCCGCGCATGTGCATCAGGATGACGGTCTTGCCGGTCCGCGCCATGGTCGGGAGCATGTCCGGATCGAGCGTGCCGGCCGACACGTCGTTGATGATGTCTGCGCCTGCAGCGCAGGCCTCGGCCGCGACGCGCGCGTGGTACGTGTCGATGCTGATGGCAACGTTGGCGGCCTCGGGGATCGAGGTGCGGATATGTCTGATGACGGGGATGACGCGGGCGAGCTCTTCCTCCTCCGTCACTGGAACCGAGTTGGGACGAGTGCTCTCACCGCCGATGTCGATGATGGTTGCGCCCGCGGAGATGAAGTTGCGGACCGTTGCCGTGAGGCGGGAAAAGTCATCGGGGGAGTAGTAGTGCTGCCCGCCGTCGGAAAAGGAGTCTGGCGTGACGTTCAAGATGGCCATTACATGGGTACGGCGCTTAGGGTCCGACGGGGTCAATGGAGGGAGGAAAGGTGCGATTGGAGTCGTGACGACTGGCGGCGTCTCCGGTGGTGGCAACGACTTGAGCTGAGAGAGAAAGGTCAGATTCATGCCTGGCAAGGGCGATCGTTCATGAGGAATTAACCTGATGCTCGTTAGCGTGCCAAAGTCTCTTCTCGAATTTCATGTGGATGGGACAAATCATACTGGCAAAGAGGCCGGAGCACAAATTCTCGCTCCAGCATCAATTTATGCGGGATATTGAGACGGGGGTGAGACACGATCTCGTTATCGTACAGGAGAATATCGAGATCGATAACCCGCGGTCCCTTGTCGATCGTCTTTTGTCGTCCCAGTCCCTTCTCGATGGACTGCAGGGTGTCCAGCAACTGAATCGGGTCCATGGTGGTCTCAATCTAGGGAGAGTTGGCACAACATCCAGAAGTGAAAGGAACGGAAACAAACCTCGCAGGCTCCATTGATGAAAGGCTCCTGATCAAGGACGTACATTGGCGCGGTTTCAAAGAGGGAGCTTGTTCTCTTGATCTTGATCCCTGCTCTTTCCATCTCCAGACACGCGCGCTCGATCATTCCAATGCGGTCTCCCATATTGCTCCCAAGAGCGATGAACGCTCGATGGGAGCCGTTCCCCTTTTGAGCGCGCATCTCCTGGTCCTGCTGGTTGCTGTTCAGAGAGTTGCGAGAGCTCGAGAACCATCTGACCGTTGGCGGAGACTTTCTAGCAGAAGAAGATTCCCGAGCAGGGAACCTGCGGTTTGTAGAAGCGGCATTAAAGAGATATTTATCAACAAGAGAGTGCCTCTGGGAAGTAAATCCTGTCAAGACATGTCTTTCTTAGTTTGCTGATTATCATGCATTACGGGATGGTTTTTGCGCAGTCACGTGTGGAAATACACTGCCAGTCCACATCGAGCCAGAGTCTTCAAGACAGTGGAGGACTTTAGGTACTGGGAGTCCTACCGTAGCCACATACAACAGGCGAATTTCTTCTAATAAAAGGTCAGAAAGAGTTACAAGACATGGTTAAACAGTATCAATGCAGCGGGGCCTTGCCTCTTCCGTTGAGTTCCCGAGAATTTCCTTTCTTGAGAGACGCTCGGGCAGAAAAGTCGAGATCGAATGGAGATGTCCGCGTAAACACGCTGGCCCCCGCAGAATGAAAGAGGATGGAACGTGCCTGCACTGCCTTGCCAGCAGCGCGCCGTTCTCGTCGTCATGTTGATGGAGGCTCCGAGTTGGCGATTGGCTGTGCCGCCTGTCGTTCCTGTCATTCGCCGTCGATCCCACGGGTCACATGATTGTTAGTACATTGGGCCAATCACATTGCAATATCAATACATAGCAGCTTCGAGGCAATCCATTTCATATTTATTCAACGTATTGAATGGTCGAGGCCGGTTTTATTATGATCTTACTAGTTGATTCAAGGGCAGAAAGAACATAAAAACCCCCGATATGTACAGACCCTAGGAACTGCGCATGCAAGATCGCAAGATCATGCAGCTTTCACCTCTGATTTCTGTTTCCTGCATGTACGACTTGGATTGATGGCAAAATTGTTTTCATCAAACGACTCGAACATCTTATTTCATTTTTTAGACGGCTGAGTCTATAGATCGGCATATAGTGAGATCTCTGACCCAAAGCCCTAGTCTCTGCATGCCCACCTCGCGTCAGACTTGGTGCCGCCCCTTGGCTCTCCATCACTTCTTTCGTCACATAAATTCCAGGACGCAATCCATTCGAAATTTCTCAAGCAATGCAGCCAAGTCGCTAGCCCATTCCCCTCTTTCCCTGTTTGATTCGACAAGCTCAATATCACCCAAGAGTCCAAACGACCACCTTTTCCGTTATACCAGCGGTCGGTGGCTCTGGAACGAAGAGCAGCAGTTAAAACATCGCTACCGATATTTCAACGTTCCAGAGCTCAAAAAAGTCGCGTGTCAGGCGGCAGACTCGAGTCGTTGCGTATCTTTGGAGAAGATCGGGGAGGGCAACTACAACAAAGGCTTCCGACTGGTGATGCAGGATGGGCAAAAAGTCATCGCAAAGATCTCCCACCCGAACGCCGGTCCACCCGTATATACCACCGCATCAGAAATAGCTACGATGGATTTTGCAAGAACCATCCTGAAGATACCTGTTCCAAAGGTCCTCGCTTGGAGTGCGACCAACCAGAATCCTGTCGAGTCTGAATACATCATTATGGAGGAGGCTGAAGGGACCCAACTTCGTGAAGCTTGGAAAGACATGAAGCTAAAAGCCAAACGAGACGTTATTTAGGAGATCATCGATATCGAGAAGAGACTTCTTTCTGTCTCATTCGACAGGTAATTCGGCTTCCGTGATAGGACTTTACAGACTGCTAAATCTGTCTTTCATAGATATGGAGCCCTTTATTACAGGAGTGACAAGATCCCACAATGCGAAAAAGCAGTAGTCACCACAGATAACATGCAAGAGGTGAAAGATGATATTGAATCACAATTCGAGATTGGTCCCATTGTCCAGAGAGAATTTTGGAAGGGTGAAAGAAGCAAAATGCATTGTTATCATGGTCCTTGTATGCTTTCATGCTCTTGGATATGCAAAATGCAACTGAACTGAATATAGAACATAGGGAGAACGGCGAAGGACTACCTTGAATCGCTCGCTCGGCGCGAAATGAAGTGGATTAACGATCATGCAGACCCCACAAAGGACATGGGCAACCCTTGGTTGAACACATCAAAAGCTCAAAGATCTCCCAATGCTCATATAGACCTTCTTCAGAGATTTCTCTCGGCAATCCCTTACATCATCCCCAAAGATACCGAACTCACTTCTCCTCGACTTTGGCATCCCGATTTCCATGCAGGGAATATCTTCGTGGATAACGAAGGCAAGATCACGAGTCTAATCGACTGGCAAGGGGCATGGGCAGAGCCCATGTTCCTTGGTTCCAATCCACCGAAACTTCTGGATTATGGTGTCGACATCTTGATGAACCTACCGGAGAACTTTAGCCAGCTTGACGAAGACACCAAGGATCAACTACGGTATCGGTTTTCCCAGTCGGTTTTGATTCACGCATACGAGACGAGAACAGCCGTTGAAAATCCTCTGATGCACAGGATGATGCATAATTATCAAGGAAAGACTCTCAAGGAAATTGTAGCTTTCGCGAGTGACACCTGGGACAGCGGTCTATTTCCTCTGAGAGAGTGTTTAATTCGGATCGAAAGGTCAGTTCTTTTGTTTTTGACAGACTAGAATGATTACCAAGTTCGGATGAGACTAAAAAAGAGTTTTGCTTTAGAGAATGGGACGATTTTGACGCAGACGAGCCATGCCCTTACCATTTCACCGAAGAAGAAATCCAGGAACATCAGGAAGAGAGTAAATCATTCAACGACAACGCCTACTTTTGGGATTCGATCCGAGAGATCGTCACCAACGAGGGATATACCTCAAACGAGGACTTTCCGAGGGCTGTGGAAATCTTCCAGAGGCTTCGAGAAAGTGGTCTGAAGAACCTGGAGGGCGACGACAGGGAAGAGTTCGATAAGCAGACGAGATGGATCCGAGATATCAGGATGTAGGATATAATACTAGAGTGTGGGAGTTGTATGGCTTCATACTTAATGACCTTATCTAAGGAGGTTGGTTTATAGATATATTTTAGCGGGCAGATAGGTCGATGGCTAATGTACAGTACATTAGTAACATTACATACATACTGATTTATTGATGCTCCATTCTACTCGAACCACGAAATCTTATTAGTTCGACTGGAAATAACAATCACCTACGCGTATAAGACAGGGTATTACTATCAAAGATCTAGTGAAAAAGCGCAGAAAACATGCTATGCTCCCCAATCAAGAGAGGATTATTAGGACTAGGATCTCGACCACTATTATAGCCCTTGCCTCTGGGCCGTAATATGGGACGGTGGGGAATAACGACTCCGATCTTAGACCTTGGCGGATCTGACTAAGAGACATTCTTTTTACAGCATGCGCTACTGGATTCTTGGGTATAAAGAAAGACCTTTTTGTTCGAGATTCTGTTAAATTCCAGGACGACTCGCCAACTCTCTTGATTATATATCTTAGAAGATCGATGAGGTGCTGAAGTCCGGATGCTAGATGTCGCTCAGCTTGCGTCATATGATTTGTAAACATCCTCTCTTCTTACTTATGCCAGGGCACACATCACTACTTCTTGAAAGATTAGACTGCCATATGCAGTAGGGAAAAAAAGACTCTATAAAAGTGGCGGTACATTTCAAGACACTATTGGTAGTGATCTCATATTTCTGTAGATACTGCAGAAAATACCTAGGTACATGCAGTGCACCTACATATGTAGTCTTTAAGAGAGGTGAATAGGGGAAAAAATGGTCAACTCTCTCTTTCGAGAGATTTCGTAGTCTGATGGCCATCTTTTCAGTCTTTCTTTACTGACCACACAATAGGACGCATGACATCCTACTCCAATCCTGGAGTTTTGGGATTTGGAATATAATGATATAGACGATATCCTGGGTATAAAGAGCCTCCCGTGTCTGCTGGAAAGGGGGATACAAAGGATAACCCTAATCATAAGCATATAATATACAATAATCCTGCGAATCTGTCGGTGCTTTTTCCCCACTCAGTAGCAGTGTTGTACTATTCTCTCGCAACAAGAATCCATAAATATGTGTTCATGTAGGCGAGTATGAAGAACACTAAATGTTCCAGTGTTCTTCTTGCTTTTGAGTAGAGGTAAGCTCCACTCGTTTAGTCGTAGTATAGCTATTCGTTGCAACTGTCAATCAAATATCGTGCAGTGTCGTGACTGCAGCCAGTAACCCGATGATTACTGCATGAAGCCATGTCAGCAAACAAGAAAAGGGGGAATATAATATTGAAAACGTTGTTGGATTAACGGACCGGTAGTGGCTGCGACGATGTAGGTTGAAATAACCCACGCGGCCTCGGCATCGCCCGTCTTCTGCATGTACCAGATCCCGATGGCCAAGCTGAGGATGATAGGGGCCGTGACGTAGATTGTGATCCTGCCGACTGACCACCGCAGGACAAGTTGCAGCGAGTACCGGCCCTGCCCAGGATCAGTCGAGCCGTTATTGAATTTTTCGTGGACCCAATCTCCCCACCGATCCTCGACGTCGTTTCTGAGGCTTTTGTAGTCCCGGTAAAATTCAAGCAAGACGCGTTCGGTCGGAAGGTCGATGTCCACGTATGTGTGGTAGCCTTTGTCCGGGTGACACTCGTATATTCCGAAACCGGCGACGTATTTGAGTGAGAAGAGACGTTGGGGGAGGCTTCGTAGACTTTTAGATGCGGACCTGATCGCTGCAAAAAGTTGACCGGCTTCCTTCACACGTTTCAGACGTTCTACGGGAACGTTATTATTTCTATTGTAAAGGCCGACAACGACATATTTCTCTAGGGCTGTAGCAGTCACGTTGCTGACGCCCAATTTGGTGCTGACCGGCCCATGCTTGAACTCCGCTTCAATCCTGGCGGAAATCAGTCGTACTCCTTGCCCTAATTTGATCTTCCAACCGCTAACAATGTTGACAAGTCCTGGCAGTGCCCTTTGAATCTTGACCTCCTTCGTAAGCGTTCTTGAGCGAGCACAATCATTTCCTTCTCTTGTTCGTAACAGGGATACTCCGAACGCGCTAATGGAAAGCTGAGAGGTTTGTATAGGGTGTTTGAACTGAGGCGGAGGCTCTAGATGAAGTTTTCCAGGCGCAGGAGCCTCCATATGGTCGACGAGTGAAGCATACTGAGAGTCAGCCTCTTGATTAGAATCGAATTGCCTGTCTACTTCCGACTGACGTTCCCCAGGTACAGTATTCATTCTCAGTTCCAATTGTTGATCTTCGGTAATATTATCGTGCGCCAGATCACGCTGCAAATTTGGTGGAACTTTGGATGCATCTGCAGACTCTAGAATATATTATTAGTAAAGTGAATCGATTGATTTTTTTTTCCTTTTTGGAATCCTTCTGCTTACTTGTTCTTTCCAATGCCTCATTTTCGTTTGAAGAAGCCCTCTCCAGAGGAACGGAAGCCTTTTCTCTTTCTATCTCTCCATCTTGTGAATCTGAAGACTCTTTATTAACAGAAGCCGAATCAGCTTCAATAGATCGAGCATATGGCATCTTGGAGATATTGTCCGTATTGGAGTCTCAAATCCGCATCTTGTTGGCACCTCAGTCGTAGTGGATTCGGTGTACAAGCTGATGATACCACGGTCACCAGAAGATAGGTAGAACTCTCGAGACTCCGGCTCAGCGTTTCTATAAACGAGTCTTGTGTTAATATGAAGTCATAAAATGTGGAAACCTGAGGAAGATATCTGTAATTCTCGTGTGAACTTGCCAGCTATTGTCACAACTTCTGTGAGGCTGCGACCGAATTAGGTGTCGTCCTTGCTTTGCTGCTTATACCGGTGATAGTATTGGATCTGGTATCAGTTCGAGAAGCACGAATCAATAGCAAGATGGCAATAGTAGCAGGTTGACAGCAAGGGTCTGAGCTGCGGGGTTTCATGCAGAGTGCGCAGAAGTATGTAGTTTGAATGGGGGTTCGTAGCCGTGCGAGTCGTGATGGTGGACATCCCCTCATTATTCAAGCACTTCTTCTGCCCATGGCTTTTGAACAACTGACCCTCATCAGCTATCCAGGAACAGTCATAATAGTGGTTTCCACTGTACTCATATACAGGCAGATGTAAGTACCTAACAGTAAACTGCAGAGCTGAGTTGACTGTATATGTTACAGGACAGCTGACTGGCCCAGAGTCGCCATTTGAGGGCTCGTTTGTGGAATGATGGTTCTGTGCAGACTACCTATGAAATGTCTTTAACAGTGCTCTTTAACAGGATCGGCTTTGAGAGCTATCGAACGTCCATAGCCTCCAGCGTCCAAAAGTACACGTAAGAGTGGCCTATTTTTCTAAGTTATTACCTACATGCTAATAGAATTGTTCAAGGTAGGCATTTGATTTTCTCAGCTCCCTTCGCGCTCATAATTAACACCATCAAAGATATCACTAAGCCCGTGGGCCAAGGATCCCGGCCAAGGATCCCAAGCAGAAGAGCTTGGAAGGTGGATGCAGCCAGTCCATGATCAAAGTATGAGCTCCTATACTCCGTAGTTATGCTCTATTCTCCCGCATTCTCAGCTGGGAAAAAAACCAGAGATTGAAGTGTTATTGGCCATGGTCCAGATCAGTACGGTCAGGTCTACATTGTATATGGCAGAAAGCTCTGACCCAGCATGGAGGACAAATCGGGAAGCTCTTCCCACTATAGGAGAGGTATCTGGTTCTTCTTTCCCACTTCTGTCTATGAGAAGTATGGTATACCATTCTGCTAGCAGAATGTGACAGGTCAACTTGTCCAGGGGTTCTTTGTTATCCGAGAATCTCCGTTTCTTAGCGTGCTACTACAGCTATACGTACAGTATACGGAGTATACAGGAAGCATTGAAATTTCCTATAATAGTAAGACATTCGAAATAGGTAGATTGAAGTTAGATGAAATATATATATATTTTTAAGTCGTAGCGTGGACTTCCGTAAAGCATAAAAATAACTTCAGGGTTGCATCTCAGTAGATTCTCCTATGAAAGGCGGTATCTCAGCACCAGACGGCGCCAACCAGTGCTGAATTGAATTCGAGTTCTGTACCTACTTTGGAACAACAGAAGTAGAGTTGGCTAGTAGCAGGTGGTGGATCACTACTCCGTAATCGCGAGTTGTATTGCCTGCTCACGTTCACCGCGGCAGAACAGCCAAGACCGCAGGCGCCCCACCTCCGCAAAGTACCGAGGCTCACGGCCGTCTCACGGCGCCGGCAGCTGGCGGCGTTCCTCGGTCCATTCCACGCATAAGTTAGCTGTACGTAACACGACAATCTCACCTCTCCATCTTTCTTTTTACGATACTCTTCGTACCATACCGTTGTCCTCTTCAAAGACAGACGTCGCATACACATCTTATTCGATCCACCATGGCTTCTCCCCGTGAGTCTTCCCCCAAACCGTCATTCCGCGGTGATATAGTCCACTGTTCTGCACTGCATCCGTGAAGCTCGATCGCTGGTTTACTGACTGCTGACGCTGATGGTAAAATATTGCAGAGCAAATCCGCACTCCCATCACCGATCTTCTCAAGATCAACCACCCCATTCTGTTGGCGGGAATGAACGTTGCCGCCGGCCCCAAGCTGGCCGCAGCGGTCACCAATGCCGGCGGTTTGGGCGTCATCGGCGGTGTCGGCTACACCCCGGCCATGCTCAAGGAGCAGATCGCCGAGCTGAAGAGTTACCTCAATGACAAGAACGCTCCTTTCGGTGTTGACTTGCTCCTGCCCCAGGTCGGAGGAAATGCGCGCAAGACCAAGTGGGTAAACCTGTCGCGTGTCCACATCGGCTTATGTTGCGCCGTCGAGGAGGCTTCCATGCTAATGTGATTCTCTGCTTAGCTATGACTACACCAAGGGCAAGCTCAACGAGCTGATTGACATCATCATCGAGAGTGGTGCCAAGCTGTTCGTCTCCGCCGTCGGTGTGCCTCCCAAGCATGTCGTGGAGAAGCTCCACGCCGCCGGCGTTCTCTACATGAACATGATCGGTCACCCGAAACATGTCCAGAAGGCCCTGGATGCGGGTGCCGACATCATCTGCGCCCAGGGTGGTGAAGGTGGTGGACACACGGGTGATGTTCCCACGACCATCCTCATTCCCACTGTCGCCAAGTTGGTCCAGGGCCACAAGAGTCCCTTGACGGGCCAGCCTGTGCAGGTCGTTGCTGCCGGAGGCCTGTTCAATGGCCAATCTGTCGCTGCGGCCTTTATGCTGGGTGCTTCTGCTGTCTGGATCGGTACCCGTTTCATCCTGTCCGACGAGGCTGGTGCTCCCGAGGCTCACAAGGAAGCCGTGCGCACTGCTGGATTTGACGACACTGTCCGAACGGTTATTTTCACTGTATGTGTTTTCTATCTTAATCTAGCTGAATCTATGTGCCGCAAAGATGGATTTCTAACAAATATTGTTTGCAGGGCCGTCCCCTTCGTGTGCGAAACAACCCTTACATCCAGAACTGGGAAGAGAACCGTCAGCAGGAGATCAAGGATCTGACCTCCAAGGGTATCATCCCTGTGGAGTACGACATGGAGCACCTGAGTGATGATGTCGATGACGAGACGCTGGACAACGCCCGTCCCTTCCTCATGGGCAAGGTTGCCGCTGTCGTGAACGAGCAGAAGCCGGCCAAGGAGATAGTGGACGAGCTGGTCACCGACGCTGTTGCATGGCTGAAGAAGGGCAACAAGCTGATCGCCAAGCTGTAATTGTGTAGTCTTTTCTTCTCTTTTTCGGTTTCTGATTCTTGTTCATTATTATATAGGGATGCATCTAGTTATTCCTTTCATTTTGGTAGAGGCAGATTTGCATAATGCATGTTTTGTTATGACCGAGTGAACAAGCATTCTTGTCCTTGATGAGGTGAACTTCAAACCATGTGGGCACTCCCTGTAGTAGATAGCCTTCTAATGGAAAGTGATAATAAAGAGCGAGAATGCTGTTCCCTCTCCGCGCCTTGATCCAGCTAGTTTGAGGTGTACAACATGTAATCCAAGAGAATTGTCATGATCACAATGTCCGTTCCGTTCGAGAGAAGTTGATTTGACCTGCATCAAATCCAGGAAGTTGGAAATTCTAACTGGGTCTTAAAATTTCCGGAGAGTTTTGTTGGTTCTTAATCGGGGGGGTTTTTTTGTTTGCTTTGCTTTGATCTTGTGGACATATAAAAAAGCACCCAGGTTGTGTATAGTAAAACTGTCCTGTTAAACATGCCACAAATAAAAAAAAGTTTCTCCCATTGAGTAGTCCTTTTTAATTTTTATTTCATTCATTTCACCGATAACACCACGTCATCATCACCATCGCAACCACCACCGATTTTCATAGCCGAGCGGTACACAGCAAACTCTTCGATCATCAATAGATTCTTAAGAGTCCAGAAATGTGTGTAGGCAACCGTGACAAAGACAAGGAAAATGGGGATTCTCGATGCTCGACGCTAATCGATCGGTTGGTGGATGGATGCAGGTATTGATTCTGAGGGGGGGTTTAATCGTTTATCGGTACTGTAAATCAAGAGAAAAAAGACCGTGGTTAGCTCGTTATTCATTTATTCATTTCGTTGCGTCTGACGGTGTCACGCGTCCGCAGGAAGTGGATAATATAATGGATATCGTCCGTTTCGAAGCCAAATTTCAGGGAGAAGAATGATATTTACCTTGATGAAGCCAATGTCGTTGGCCTTCTCACGGAAGCACTGTTATCAACGTTAGCAACCTCCAATTCACTTCCCCGGAGACGCTTTCTTCGACGACGCAGGGGAATACCAACCTGACGGCAAACCATCAGACCGTACTTGCGGATCAAACCAGCCCTGTGCGCGCAAACACGGCTATATCGAAGAAAATCGGTGTGGTTAGCGAATCTGCTCACTTCGGCCAACCCTCCTCCATCACAGCAGTTTTCTTTTTCATCCTCTTTTTTTCAACCCCGTTTCCCCCCCAAACTTCCTCCCTCTCCACACACAATCTTATCCCCCACACTCCTTCGCGACAGAGGTGGAATTTCCTTACCACTGGCGGCTTCCCTTGCCGAACTTCCTCGGCCGGCTGTACCAAACGGAGTCGTGCGACATCTTGACTGACGGAGCAGCGTAGAATTCGGGGAGCGAAAAGAGCGTGAGCTGTTGCCTTCTTGCTGACGCTGATGACGACGACGGTCGAGGTGGTTTTGTCGGATGATCGAGAGAGAAGTTCTTCGCCAATAATGCCCGGTTTCTTCTGTGTGCCGGTCCGGAGGCAGGCTTGGCGGCCGGGTGTGTTTAGCGAGGACTTAGCTTTTTTGGGTATGGCCTTCCACGTGACTTGTGGATTCCGGAGTGGGTTAGGGCGGAAGCCCTAGGGGCTGCCTTTTTGGGATATCGATTTACAGCCCGAGTATGTACTGTACGGAGTAGAAGGTTCCAAGAATGGTATACCGTGGGCCGTGGACCGAGGCATACGTCCATGAATGACAACACTACATCATTTCCGTACAGAATATAGCAGCATGATATTCCAGTCTTGTTATTCTTTTGTTTTATTTCCCTCCGCACTCTGTTGATCAAACTAGACAGAAATAACAACATTGATATGTATTTACATGTACTCTTGCGACCCAAATCAGACACGAGGCAGTTCTCTATTTCCTGTCTGTTGTCGCTGAGAATGATGTTTAACAGAACAGGAAAATGGATAAGAATGTCTCTGTGGCATCGATCTTTGGCCGCTGCTCTTCAGATAGTGGTTTGTACCAGTATGACAAATCGTCCTCTTCCCTTGTCAATTCCAGCTTTCGTGGATAGAAACCTCCGTGTAGAGATGAACTTTAGACCGCACTATAACTTATAACTATCAGGCCTTATGTTTGAATCGGGATTTGCCTGTTTCAGAAATTCGTGCATGCTTCTAATATTAGCGCATCCTGCACGATACTGTACAATTTCAGGATTACATTGTATCTGTTCTTAAGCTGTATAGTTAATCTTCTAAAACTCATGGCAAAAGTGGAATTTCCCTTCGAGACGCTATTATTGTCGATATCATTAATAGGAGAGTTCAGTCCACCTCGCCAGTCTCGAACGAGATAATAGAAGAAGGCTAAATTGTCAAGACTAAGTCAAATCCGGTTGAATTGCACTGTACTACTTACCTAATAAAATTGCTTAACTAAAGAAATAAGACTAGACAAGAAAATGTCAAGTGCAAGATCACTAGTAGTAATTAGTAAACCCCACACCGAGGCACTTAGTAGGGACTTCATGGACAGACTCCCTCCCTCTTTCGTCCCCTCTCAGTCTGCATTTAGTGGTTCTTCACGTGTTGACAGTCTCGTCTCGTGATCACAGCCACCGACAAACGAATGGTTGTCCATCCACTGAGAGGTTTCGTTTGGAACTCACGAGGCATAGAGGTCTGTGTGTCAAGGTCGGCGACTTCCGCTTCTGTCGCGAGACTCCGTTGGACATCATAACCCTCAGTAGATAGATCGATAGCAGGCACGCCCATCGTGCACATTGCAAGGGGGATGTGCCGTTGCATATGAGTCGATTATGGGGCTGATCTGCACGATCTGGTATCACAGATATCAAGTACTGGATCATCTAGCAGGTTGGGTCTTGCTCCACATTCTTGCTCTCCGTTTAGAATTATGGAACCCCGGGGGGTCCCGGGCGGCGGCGGAAGCCCCCTACAGAGATCGAGGAGCTAATAAGATGGTTCTAGGACCAGATAATCCCCGCCTTTGGCTGACTTGCAGATCGTTTTGATAAAACCAGCCAACGAATAAGCTGGGTGACATTGTTTGCAGCAATGCTACAGTTGGCCGCTGTCCTAGTGCATGGAAGCCAGATCGACAGCATCTCCCATATTCTGTTTCATGTCGGAGTTGGCCGCTTCCTGCCTGGGAGCAGGGGTGTTGCTCTTATCTCGATCTCATTAGGCAGTGCGCGCAGTCAGCCGCTGCTTATCAACGCCTCTGATATCGCTGCTCGTGATTTGGTTTGGCGAGACGTGCGGGGACTTCGCACTTGCCGTTCCTGGGCGGCGGTTCGGCAATTCCATTGGCTGACAGAGGGCTTTGATAAGCCGGTTGGGCTCTGCTTCTCGAAACAAGGCAGGCACCACGCGACAGCCCCACGCACAGCGGTGGACCTTCCCTCTAGGGCTGCAAAATTCCTGACGCTAAAAGTGGTATTCCTGACGGCTCGAATACCCACGGCCCGTGCAATGAACTGATAGGAGAAAATTTCTCGTCGCTTGCTAACCACACGCGGTTTATAAAATCATGGCTCCCCGTTCGCGTCGTCCTCCACTCTTTTTCCAGACGCCGTCGATGAGTATGGGTGTTCTCCCCTCGTCGATTCTTCTTTGCTAACGCAGCCCTGTGCTATAGCTGCTGTCGTCTTCCGGGTGCCCTCTTCACTCGCGCGCGATACCTAGCCCTTGATATATTCTCGGGTTCCCGGCGCATCATCGGCAGTTATACCCTACCCTCAGCAATGGAGCACCCGATCGCGCACGACGTCGAGAAGCACCCCGGAGTGGGCAATCTCCTCTACGATGACACGGGAGCCGTGCCGGGAGAGAGCTTTGAATATGGCGATTCTCTCTACGCCCGGCTCCAGCGGTTTGCTGGAAAGCTCAGAGTGGAACAGCGAGGCATTGAGCGTGTGCCGGATGACGAGAGAACGGATACTTCATATACGAACATTGGTAGCATGGTGTGTCTCTAATCCACTTGTCTCAAAAGAAGATTCTTTTGAGACCTTTTTGCGCTGATTGCCTCGCAGTGGCTTGCTGCAAACATGGTGGTGACGTCGTTCGCCATTGGCGTACTCGGGAAGTCGCTCTTTTACCTGGGATTCGTCGACGCGATCCTCGTCGTGTTCTTCTTCAATATCCTGGGTGTCATGACGGTCTGCTTCTTCTCCTGCTTCGGTCCCGCTTTTGGATTGCGTCAAATGGTGCTCTCCCGGTTTTGGTTTGGCTGGTGGGGAGTCAAACTCAGTCAGTACTGGTCGAATCTCCAGGATGAAAGAGCTCTGCTTACGAAATTGCTTCAGTTGCCATATTCAACGTGCTGGCCTGTATCGGCTGGTCGGCAGCAAACGTAATCGTCGGTGCACAGCTGATTAACGCGGTGAATCCCAACGTTCCTGGTTTTGCTGGCGTCATCATCATCGCGGTCTGCACGTTCGTTGTCACGTTTTTTGGCTACAAGGTGGTGCATGCGTACGAATACTGGAGTTGGATTCCAACGTTCATCGTCTTCCTAATCGTGTTGGGTGTCTTCGCCCATTCCGGGGACTTTGTGAACATCCCCATGGGTGTCGGTACCTCGGAGCTGGGAGGCGTGCTCTCGTTCGGATCCACGGTTTATGGCTTCGCGACTGGCTGGACCAGCTATGCAGCAGATTACACCGTCTATCAGCCCGCTAACCGCAGTCGCCGCAAGGTGTTTTTGGCGACATGGCTTGGTATCATCACTCCTCTCCTCTTCACGGAGATGCTGGGCGTGGCTGTCATGACCGCCACCAGCCTTAATGACGGCAACAATGCCTACCAGGACGGCTATAACGCTTCTGGCACCGGTGGCTTGCTGGCTGCTGTCCTCTTCCCCAAGCTGGGTGGCTTTGGCAAGTTCTGCGTCGTCATCCTCGCACTGTCAATCATTGCCAACAACTGCCCCAACATTTACTCGGTGTCCCTTACCCTCTTAGTTCTGGGCCGTTGGACTCGTCTCATACCGCGCTTCATCTGGACTCTTGTAGCCACCGGGGTCTACGTCGCCATTGCTATCCCCGGCTATTCGCACTTCGGCGGTGTTGGAGAATTTCATGAACTTCATCGCTTACTGGCTGGCGATCTATGAGGGGATTGCCGTGACCGATCACTTTGTCTTCAAGCGTGGTTTCTCAGGGTACCGACCCGAAATCTACGATCGGCCCGACGAACTACCCCCGGGCATTGCTGCGGTGGGTGCGTTCTGCTGTGGTGTTGCGGGAATGATCACCGGAATGAGCCAGCAGTGGTGGGTCGGTCCCATTGCTCTGCACGCTGGCGAAGCGCCGTTTGGCGGCGACGTCGGCTTTGAGCTTGGCTTTGCATTCGCTGCTGTCGGCTATTTAATCTTGAGACCGATCGAGCTGAGGATCTTCAAGCGATAGGGTTGTTTGGATGGCATTGTGAGGGAAATTGGTGTCTTCGTGTTTTTTTTTTGATGAGGTTATATGTTTATATATATTCATCTTTCGTCATCTTTTAGCCGTCATGGAGTGTAATTATGTCGATACCATCAATGCATGTATATTGAGAGGCATTTCCTTTCTGGGAAGTATAGACCTAGTACACAATATAGCGAGTCGAACCTGATATCAGAGGATCTATCGGTATATATCATCAGACGTTATTCACATAGTCAGGGAATATCATCCCAGCATCAAAGGACATTCAAGTTTTCTCAGTAGGTTGTGATCAGGTCCTGCTAACCTGGATATGTAGAGTACATATACTTTGAGAGTTGAGTTCAATCTCCTCCTCTTTTCTCTTTTGAAAGCCAAATTGAGGTGTGCTGCTAAATTGTCTAATAAATAGAATCACACGACAAGGGAGCACTGCAAGTACAACAGTTAAAGAGAATGCAAATGATTACCATGCGTCATAGGACAAGAGTATAGATCTGCTTGGTCACGTGACTTGTTCGCTATGTCTAGCCACACGGCTGACCTGCGCCACCGATTGAATCCATCTAAAAGAAATCCACAACGGATTCGCCTCCGCTCCGAAATCAAGAAAATTGATCACAATCAAGAAACCACAATATTATCACCACAAAGATGTCGAGACTGGCAAAGTAAGTACATTATCAAATATTCCGGACGTGTGCTGGACATAATTTTGCTAACATTGTCTTCTTTCATCTACAGCCGTGCCGACTGGGCCGACGACGAGGAGTTTGATGACCCCTCCGCCCTCCCCGCACAGCAAGTCACAACCAACAAGGACGGAACGAAAACTGTCGTGTCGTATCGCTTCAACGATGATGGCAAAAAAGTGAAAGTGACGCGGCGGATCCGCACCACCGTCGTGAAGGAGCACGTCAACCCTCGAGTCGCGGAACGGAGAACATGGGCCAAGTTCGGTCTGGAGAAGGGCCATGCTCCCGGCCCATCGTTTGACACCACCTCGGTCGGCGAGAACATTGTCTTCCGTCCCAGCGTCAACTGGAAGGCGCAGGCCAAGGAGGCGGAGAAGGAAGGCGAGAAGGGCGGCATCAAGGACCAGCTGAAGGACAAGAAGGTCAAGTGCCGGATTTGCAGCGGAGAGCACTTCACGGCTCGCTGTCCGTTCAAGGACACGATGGCTCCGATCGACGAGCCTGCTCACGGCCCCGGAGTGGATTTGGACGACGACGACAGGCCCACGGGCGCTCTGGGCGGTGGTGGAGGAAGCTATGTGCCTCCTCACCTGCGCAAAGGCGGTGCTGCGGCTGGCGAGAAGATGGGTGGCAAGTACGAGAGAGACGATCTTGCGACCCTGAGAGTGACAAACGTAAGTGCTATTTGCCAGCCTTTTCTAGATGAGATATGAGCTGACACGGATTGCTTCTACTCAGGTGAGCGAGTTGGCAGAAGAGCAGGAACTCCGGGATCTATTCGAACGGTTTGGACGGGTCACCCGAGTCTTTTTGGCCCGGGACCGCGACACGCAGAAAGCCAAGGGCTTTGCATTTATCAGCTTCGCAGACCGGAACGACGCTGCTCGTGCTTGCGAGAAGATGGATGGCTGTAAGTGTCCCCACGATGGTATCATGAGTCTCGGTCATATGCTGACATTAACTCCTCCAGTCGGTTACCGCCACCTTATCCTGCGCGTGGAATTCGCCAAGAGGGCTTCTTAAAAGAACTTCCTTCCCTTTTCTTTTACTTCTTCGCCTCACCCGTCATGGCTTATTTCATTTCATGGTTGAAGATTGTTTGTACTGTACGACGAATCGAACGACCTTTCGAATTCGGTAGGATAGCTTGGTAATGATGATGCTTTTTTTTCATGTTGAACGAGGGATCAGATAAGCAAATAGCATCTTTTGATTCTTCTCTCTCGTCTTGCTGCTCGAGCGTACATACATAGAATGAATTGATATATCCTTATGTCCGCCATCTCTCTCTCCCTGCTGTTGACTATGGAATAACAAACAGAAAAAGCTGATTCAGATATCAAAAGGCTATATGTATTGAAATGGACCACTGAACGGGACATGATATCCCACCCAAAAAAAGTGTTCCTTTCGATCGTCGCCCTTCTCTCGACCCGATTTCCTTTCCTTACCCTTACCTTCTTGATCCAAGGAGTTCAAAAAGCTCAAAAGCTCAAGTGAAAAGAAAAGAGTTATTTCTACTCAAACTGTACTGTACATATAGAGTAGCTTTTATTCCTTGTTTCTTTTTTTGTCTTGTGTGCGTTTACATCAGATATATGTACATACATACATATACATGCATATACACGAATCCTCGCTATACTATAGTTGATACGGATGTATATCCTATCCTATCTTCTTACTTACATACATAGGAAAGGGAAGTGAAAAGAGATACCAGAATACAGAATAAACAACAGAGAATGAATGAGTGAGTGGGTGAGTAAGTGAGTGAATTTCTACGAACTGATCCTCGTCAAGTACAGTAAGACGAGATGTAAATGAATATCAATCTACTTACTCCATGAGTCAGTCAGTCTATTAAGTATCACCTCTACTATCACCTCTACTATAGGTAAAAACATTAATTTCCGTTTTTGTATACTGTCATGTGCCTCTCTAAATATCTAAATATTAGGGAAGGGATATATAGCTACAGTAGAGTTAGGGTAAAAAAGAGATTACAGCAGGGGATATAGTTAGTTAGTAAGTCCGGCTAGAGAGTAGATGATGACAAGGACTAACTACTAAAATATGAGAAATAATAATAATAATAATATGTATATAGTGAGGCCCGCCTGGGAGGTGGATTGCAAAGTCCTTGGCATAACCAGGTATACCTATTTTCTCTTCAAATCAGTCGAGCAAAATGAGACCTGGAAGGCTTGTGTATTATATTATAGGTAATCAACAGAGATTCATTTTGTATTTGTTTCATTTTATTCCGTCTCATGCACGACAGACAAGCAACTTTTGCTTGCTACCTACCTACTCTGTAAAGAAAACTCCATACATGACTTCATGATATATGTGGTATGCCTGTCCTGTCCTGTCCAGATCTATATCTAGATGAGATGAGATATATGGTTAGTATGTACATACATACATGTACTCCGTAGGTAACTACTAAAGTAACTACCTAGGTATACTGTAAGTCGGAGGGCCTGCAGCCTGCCCTGGCGGATTGTTCATGAATGCAGTTGCGAGGCCCTGTCGGTTCTCGTCAGATGATAGAAAATAATACAATTCACAAAATTCACTTACTTCGGCCCAGAAGGAAGGCTGATTCGAATCCCACTCATCAACCCTTTTTCCCCCTTGAAAGTAGACAAGTTTGCTTGAATATAGTTCAGTTTGAGGAAATGTCTCATGCAATTTGATCGCAGCATCAATATTCTCGACGTTTTGTTGAACTCTTGGATGTTTGCGAATGCTTTTGAGATATTCGATTCTCTCCGCGTGGGTAGCAGGCCACTTTCCAGATGGAAGTGGTCTTAGTGGAAGGGTCCCCCATTGTGACGCCTCTAAAACCAGTGAGTCTGCATTTTCTAACTCACGTTATAGTATATTAGAAGCCAAGATGCTTACTTTGATGCAGCTCTTGAACCTCTGGATCTTCCATTGAACGACCATTTACCATAGTGGCCTTAATGAAAGGTCCCCATGGTGTGGATTCTACATCGTCCACAAATAGAGCTTTGACGTTATCGGGTAGATCTATCTTCTCAGAACTAGATCCTTGAGACATGATGATCAAGTTGACGAAAAGAAGAAGGAAAAAGAAAAAAAAGGACTCAGTCGACAGCTCACTGGGCATATCAAGACAGGCTGCAAATCCGACGAGAGTACAGGACGACTTGAAGAGACAGGATTAGAGGAGCTGAGAAGAGAGACATGTAGATATGAGGCAGTCTTAAGACTTGAGGAGACCGTATCAAAGCACGAAGAGAACCTGAGGAGAGAGAAGGGGGAAAAGGGAAGAGAAAGTTAAAGAGGAGTAGAGCTGGTTTGAATAATAGTCCTGATCTTGGATGATCGGAACCACAGAATAGGCAGCAACCTTCACTTCAAAGGTTTCTTGCTTGGAATACTCCAGGAATATCTCGGTAATCCCTAATCAGGAAATAACGGTTCACTCCATGGACAAGAGAAGTAGAGCAGTGAAGGAAATCACACTGCATCTGCTTACCTAATAACCAGGTGTCACATCCTGGAAGAATGATGAAATCAGAGTCTGAGAATACGGATTTGCTTGGTAAGAGGATAGATATACAATACCAGGTACAATTCACCTCAACTAGAAAATCTTGTGGGAGAATCAACGCTATTAAAGTCTCCAATATAGACAGACACATTGCTATAATTTCTTCTATACGGTATTTTTAAGACTGAAGAAAGCACTTGTGTAATTATATTCTTCCTTCGCACATAGCGCTCATAGTGAGGTCAATGATGAATCCTATTTACGGTAAGTACAGGCATAGATGAAGACAATAATGCCAAGATACGAGCTCTGGTCGTGACTTCCCTGTATTAAAAAAAAAGGCTCATTTTGGAAACTTGGAGTTTGAAATAAGGTCCAATTTGACTTCTTAAATAATAGTGTCGACAGTTTTGGTCGCATGGGAGGAAAGGATGCAAAAAGCGGCGTCAAGGGTCGACGAAAAAGGCGTCATTCCCTCCGACTTCCAGACCGTATAGAGGTAAAGTGGGTGTACAGTACATACACCATTCCCAAATTGTCCTTTGTAGCATTGCAACCAAGAGAGCAAGCAAGCAAGCAAGTCGGGGTATCCTGCGTCGTAAGTAAAAGGGTCGCAGAGGGACTTAGGCCAAGACCTGCGGTAGGTAGGTATTTCTCTCTCTCCAGTCTGTCTAACATAAGTGATGGGAAGTTACCTGGGAAGTACTAGCATATTTTTTCCCGAAATATGTGATACTACTTACTTTTTGGCTTTTCTTTTCTTCTAGGAATGTTGCTCTACTGTATACAAAGAAAGGAAGAGAGAAAAAAAATGAACTTCACATGTGGCAATGGCAAATTTCAGTCTCAGTGCGCCTGAGTAATGGATGGTCTTGCCTGTTTCGACATTATTGAGTGAGGCAGTAACCAGGATTACTATCCAATACAAATCTTCTGCCCGTCATTGAGCCCCTTTTACCCTTCAGAAACGAGGCAGCATTGGCTCGAAACGCCAGCGGCATCTGGCCCAGCATATCCGATTCGTTGCACTGCACCGCCCAGCTCGACATGCTCCTTTACTTCGTCGTCTTCTTTTTAGGAAAACACATGTGACCTGGCCACAGTGACAGAACCCAGAGCCTGGTTTTTGTCTGGGCCAGACCACCCGGACCCAGACCCGTTTGTTTCGATGGTGGCTGGGCAAAAGTCCGATGCGTTCCCATTTAATTTCCCGTTTGGCACGGCTCCCGAATAGCCGTTACTCAATGACGCTTTCACAGCTCGAGGTCTGCAGATGCGCGTCCCTTCAGGTGCCCGATTGGATGCGAAGCCACAGGCCACGGCTAGCGACAGAGCCCACAATCTTCTGTCAGATGCCAACCACGCCCGGCCACATGCTACTCCCGTTGCAACATTAGCAGGGTGCTTGGGACAATAAACCACGGCGACCTCCGACGTGAGTTCATGATTCGAATCCCCACCGGGCATGCGTTGGTAACGTTCAGTCAAGAAGTTGGGTTTGGGGGCAGACTTCAGCAAATGGTATCTCCCAGGGGAAGCTCGAGAGAAAAATGTTAGAGCGGAGGGGACGGGAATGAGCTGGCCGTTGACTCAAATTGACATTGACACGAGACAGCGCTCGAGTCATGCCAGCAACTCGTGGCAGGATATGGACAAAGCTCCCTGGTGCGTTTCCGCCCGCTGAACGGCGCCGACCCACCCATCAAACAAAGACAAGGTGCGGCTCGCATCACCAACTCCGCATCTCATGGCAGTCGCCATTGTGTGATGATTCCAACAATACCCATATCATCAGACGGAGTCACGGGCTCGACGGGCCGGAATTTCGTTTGCATGGGGAAAATGGTTTTGTTTGGCCCTACCGCGGCTAGTCTTTAGATCTAGGAAAGACCATTTTCGTTCACCTCCAGTGCCAGAGAACCATATTTTTGGCCCTTCGGCAGCCCAGAGACACGGAAACGATCGGTACAAGCCGATTTGCAGTTGCCATCATGATCCAACACATCCCCGAATTGGACCTTCGGAGCCGTCTGCCGCCCTTTCTGGGGTTCGGCCGTATAATAATTTACCGTAAAATACGCCTGTCGAGCCAGCAACAGCAGCCCGATATGGCAAGTCTTTGCAGTCGAAATCGTCGAGCAAATAACAGCAACGATAGCTGGGTTGGGTTTTGGACCTCCAAAGCAAGCAACGTCAGCAGCAACCAAAAAGAGAAGACATCAGGTCCTGGTCTCATCGAATCTCCGCACTCGGGGAAGTTAAGAACCGGATAGCCGACATGTGGTCGGCCTTTGGAGCGATCTCCGTTAAGAGCGGCGTCTAGACCGCTGGAAGCGCCTCCCCGCGAGCCCGAACAGCGCCAGGCTGGAATGCGGACGGAGGATCAGGAACGCCGCCTCATAGTGCCATGTTTGGCAGCTGGAGGCTCGAGGACGAAGTAATTCGCGTCCGTTGCGGACCTGGTGTTGACAGTCTTGATTTCAGACGGACGGTCACGCTCCAGAAGCGCGCTATACTCGTCCAGGGCTAGGGCGCGGATCGATGGCCCTGGTGCACGTGCCAGTCCTCTTACTCGATGTGTCAAATCGTCGATCCTCTTGGCCTCCTCGTACACCTGGACGTTGTCTGCTCAACGGCTTCAAGCCGAACGGACAGCCTGCCCCGTGCTGGACGAAGTCAAAAGTGCCTTCCCTTCCGCTGTTATTTCCGGCTCTTCTTCCTCCCCGGCACCTCCAGACTCCCCCGGCTTCCGAAGACACCGCGCCCGCGGCACCTTTTCAGCATCAACTGTCTCAGGGCCCTGGTTTCCGCCCCTAATGCACATGCTAGACCCCTTTTCGAGCGGCCCTCTGGCGCTGCAGGTGGTGGTGTCATGCACATCATGCCCAGCTTCCCTCCACTCGCTGCTCGTTTTCCGTCCCTAGCTGCAGATCCAGCCGGGGTTCAACGGGCTCCTTTACCAATGATTTGCGTCCTCATTGTCCTGAATTACGCCATGCGCTGTCCAGGAGTCCTCCGGGGCTCCAAGCGCCCTGTCACGACTGCCAATCGCCCGTTCTCCAGCTCACGAAAGGCGCAGCATGGCAGAATCGACTAGGCCTTCGTTAAGGAACTGGAATGCCCGTCAAGAGACCCACCCTATGCGTGGATCTGGGGTGGAGCGCCCGCCAGTGCCAGGCTACACGGCCTAGCCTCGCACTCACACGCTCCCCTAAGCCTAGGATCGTTAAGCTCCACGCTAGAGACGTTTGTATAGAAGGAACAAAACCCTAGATCATCATCACTAACAGAGTCGGTCTTAGGTCCACGGACGTTCTGGGGAGGGCTTCAGCCTTCGCCTGCCAACTGGTCTGGGATAGTGGCCCTAGTCGGGCCTAATTTAACGTTCCGCTATGTCGGTGAGCGACAGATGCGCCACCAGGCAGATTCAGATGGATGCCCAGTCTCGTTTCCTCTTAGTTGACAGGCAACACCGGAGAGTGCCCGCTGCTGCAACGCTGATCCTCGGGCCCTTCGGGAAGCCCATCCTCGGGTACGGCGGCCCATTCGAAGCTGTATTGGGATTTGATTTCCCTTCCGAGTCATCGTTCATTCTTCTCACGCATAGGGCATCTGTTCGATCATCGATGATGCCCTTGAACCATTGTTACTTGGACCCACCAGAGCCAGCCAGTCCGCAGAGAATGTGAACAGCTTTCAGGCTGGGCATTCTGAGCGATCACGCGGGGGCGCCCGAAATGATCATCCGGCTAACTGCTCTAGCGCCATCTTCTTTCTTTGGCTCCTAGCAAGACCGGTACCGCGTCATGTATCTGTATACCGCTGACATCTGATAGGAATAACAGTCTCTGTGCCCATGATCATATCGCTGTTTCAGCAGGTATACTCGATGCTGAATGTTGTAATATATCCGGGTGGCAATTGGCGGCTATTTCGCCCGGGAGGTGTTCCTGCATCAGACAAAGCATAACTGGGGAGTACCAGGATTCTGACGCTTTACCTCCTTCTAGCCGCTTCTAAATCCCTTGGATGGCAGGATGGATGCAACAGGGTTCTGGAATCCTAAGGACTTTTCCTATTCAGGGAGATGGAGGATTACTGCAGGTTCACCACAGCCTGTCTTAGGGGGGGCCACTGATTCCCTGGCAGCTGATACGACCGGGCCCGCCTCTGCGGTTCGCCATGTAGCTTTTGGTATGGAGACGCCTCCCGCATCTACCACGATTTCCTCAAGGCCTTTGTGCAGAGGGGATTGGCGCGTTGTTTCAAAAGTATATCATAATTTTGGAAATCTCAGGATGTGTGTGTGCGCACGGTGACGCGCCTTTTTGGGGTCTTGACTTGCAGATACCTATCCGCAGGTCCAGGGTTGTCAGGTCCGTAAGGTTGGACTGGGTCTAGGAAACGGGAAAAGAGGCTTTTTCTTTCCCAGGACATGGGCGACAAGAGACAAAGTGAACTATTGCTGCTGCTATCAGTGCCCTTGGGAGGGGGGAACAAATATCAATCCAGATCACCCCACTTCTTCAACTCGTCTGCCGCAAGCGAACTACCGGCATATGCCTTCAATTTTATAGCTGCGATCTCCTCCACCGACGACAGGAAACATTTATTGCCCATTCTTCCCTTTTACGCTCATAATCTGCCCCTTCCAGGCTGTCTGAGCTTTCTACTGCATTTCTCCATAGAGTTTCTGCTGTCCTCATTGACTTGTGAAACGAATCAGTACATGTAAGGATTTCCACGCCTTTCCAACAAGGCGTGTTGTGGAAGAACGACGGAGAAAAGTATCGTCTCATCCACACATCACTTCCTACTTGGTCGTCTGTCACAAGATCTACTGTTACATTTGGATTTCTCTCCACTGGCCTTTCAAGCTCGGTGAGTGTACATTCCATATCTACATACTGCCTTTTTTTCCCCCTCTCTCTTCCTCTCTTTTGTCTTTGACTATCTCAGATCCCCGATTCATCCCTCAACTTTCGTGATATTTTTACCTCTTCCCTTTCTTTTCTTCTTCTTCTTTTCCCCCGATGATCCTCGCCGCCAACCTTGCCGGCACCTGCCTGGTTGATATGCTTGAAGCCAAGGAGAAACTACAGAGATGCTGTATCTAGCCACCCGCATACAGCAGCGTATGTGAGAGTCTCCTCCTTCAGTATGTTCACCGCTGCAGTGACTCCAGGGATTATTGGAGGGACAAAGAAGGAAAAAGAGCCAAATCAAAACAAGAAAACAAGAGCGAAAGTTCTTGACATTGCAATGGACGTGAAATTATGCTCTCTGCGTTTTCTTTGGTTGCTCTTTTCTTCCCTTCTTTTTCCTTTTCTTTTCTGTTCCCGTGAGTGCACATGGCTGGCTGGAGTCTTGACAACACTCCTTCCACCACTTGCAGCTGCAGGAAAAATATTTCCGCTGCATCCTTGTGGCTCTGCCATGCACCTTTTTCTTGGGTGTTAGGCCTGAAATCCTGCCATTGAATTCTGTTAGCAACAGTTCCTAAAGAAGATGCTGACTGACAGTGGATTGCTGTTTGCTTTCTTTTTTGAAACCAGGTTGCTTGGTGTGCCCGATCCACTTGGAAGGAGATCTCCTGGCAATATCCGCTGCTTTATTTCGTGAAAAGAGATAACCGGCGTTGATCTACGCCGCCGCGAGCTGATCCAATCGGTCACTATTGGCTCATCCCCCAGTCCAGGATTTGCGCGGCAATCACCTGTCACCTGCGGCGTATAGTAGGGCTTGCTAGTCCTCTTGTCCGTTTGCCAGCCGCCACTAGAGTCGAACAGCCAGTCGAATCCGGGGTCTCCTCTGTGGCCGCTAGTGCCCTCAAACTCTGGCCTTCTTCCCAATGCATCACAGTAAGCTTGTTTTTCTCATCGTACAACTATGCGCTGAGGCCCAAGGTTTTGCCCAAGCATCGAGTTCACTGTACACGAAGGTCATTGTGGTCGTTCTTCCGTTTGCCTACTTTACAACCTACTTTAGTTGGACCCCTGTCACCGGCACACAATCTTGCAGCCGGTGTACATCCTTGTCACACAAAAGGTCCAACTTGACGCCAACCTCCAATTGATGAACTCTTCTCTTTAGCATCTGCCTTCTGCTTCTTGCAATTCTCCTTTTTTTTTCTGCAGGCACAAATCTTCGTTTCTTCCCTCGAAGTCACAGGACCACACTCGATTCCTTCTTGCTCTGAACTTCTGCCCATGTTCTAACAAGTCTTCGTGCACACAGCGCTTTTGCAGAATCCAACTTTTCAACTAGATTATTCCCCCTCTTCTTCCGAGAGTGACTGCATTGGTCCCCAGCGGGCATTCTCAACTTCAGCCGCCTTTCCGACCGAGGACGAAGAACAGCATCGGCAGGTCGGCTCTCTGGGGCACTCCCTGTCCCAACCGGCCGCATCAACTGTCGCCAACGGCTTCCGCTATAACACGCAGAGTTCTACCTTGCAGGATGTCAGGTAAGCGTCACTTTTAATCTGGGCTGCGTTTGCGTACTCCTTGACCCCCTCGTCTCTTTTCCCACCATGGAGGATCATCCATGATCGTCCAGTCCCGTCTCATCTTGGGCATGCTGAGCCTCCAGGCTGTGTTCAGCGGCGATTGCCTTGCGATCCTATTGAACTCTTTTTCTGGGTGGCTGGTCATAAGACACGTTTCTGGGATCTGTACCAGGCAGATCATAAACGTGTTTTTTTAAGCTGCAGTTTTGCACGCTTGCACGAGCGTACATCAGGGCCTCCTGAATTCATTTTTTTTTCCTCCTTACACTCGACTCTCTGAGCAATTTAACACTGATTTGCTTTGATCCAGCTTCGCACCGTCTCCAGGGCTTTTTGTGAGTCCACTTGATTCGTGCAGCGGCGTCTCCTCGAGTAGCCCCATCACTGCCTCTTCTCTTCACTACGCCCCCATGTTTCCGAATGATGTAACTTCAACAGAGAGCATCCTTTCCACTCCTGCGTCTGTATACTCGCAACCGGTCCCTACCTCCTGGAACGATAGGATGTCGGAGTTCAGGTCTCCCCGCATACCCGCTCTGTAAGTTGATTGATGTTGTTGGACCCTAACTTCTACCGATGTACTGACATATTGCGTACGAAGCCAACCGTCCGCAAGCCTCTCTACGTCCTTTCAGTCCCAGGGAACAACAATGCCGAGCAGCTCGAGTATGCTCGGGAGAGACAACTATCCAACCGCATATGCTCTGAGCAGAAATTCTTTCTCGTCGCAAGTGTCAGGGATCAATGAACTATCACGGTATTCACAATATCCAAGCATTCCACCTGTCCTTGGAAATCAGGTGGAGCCGTCCAGCACTGTTTATTCAAATCCCGGGAGTCTACTGTTTGAGCCTGCCCAGCGCACTGGGCAGCATGCAGCAGACGCCCCTCCCTTTCATAAAACAGAGCTTCTTTGCACGATCATGACGGACAATCAGACGATCGAGCCAGAAATTCAGGCCAAAATCCACAAAGGCTTCTTTCAGGCGGACGACAAATGGACCTGCTATCGTCGCAACTATTTCTCTGTATCCTGCTTCCTTTTCTTTGCGTCAATGGACGCCGAATGCTCCCTTGTATCTGCAACGGCCTAACCACCCCACGGAACGTATCCACTCCTTTGCCATGTCCATCTCAGCCGTCGTGAATGGCCAAGATGGCGAAATTCGGGAGTTGGTGCAACATACCCCCAAGAGAGACAAACAATCCGAGAAAAGACCGGAGAAGGTTATCTTGCAACCGCTGCCGTCGTTTTCTCTGGGTTCCAACGTCGGACCTGCGGCTGTCGCTAGTCATTCGGCATATGGAGTACATCCGCATTCGGCGGGCATGTCTCTGGATTACAATCAGCCTTTCGCTAACGCACTGCAGTCTTCGCACCCACCCACACAACATACATTCGAGCGAATCCAGTTCCAAAAGGCGACGGCGAACAACGGGAAGCGGCGAGCGCAGCAGCAGTACTACAACCTGGTAGTTGAACTCCATGCAAAAATTTCGTCTCCAGTCAGCAGTGGTGTCGGCCCTCAATGGGTGAGGGTCGCCAAGAGACTCTCAGATTCGATGGTGGTGCGCGGGCGATCTCCAGGCCACTACAAGGACGGAAGACGTGATAGCTCTGCAAGCATGGGCCCTGATAGTGGGGGGACGGGCAGTTCTGGAGATGGCAGTCGGGGGAGTGTTCTACCACCAGGCCTCGGACAAGGGCCATTTCCGCATCTGCCTCTGATGTCCTATGATACCTCTCATCGCAGTGGTCCTCGTTACAGCCGGAACGGACCACAGCACCACCAGCGGCCTCTGGCATCTACCGATCACTCGCCCTCGAGTACCAACACGTTGATTTCATCCTCTTCCTCGTCGTCTTCCCCTTTCGAATTTACCATTTTTAACGACTCCATGGATGGCGTCGAGTCGGTGGAAGATAACACGCAAGTGGCGTCATATCGCGATGTGGCGTTCAATCTGGGCTCATCAAACCGAAAGAAATCGACCAGCACTGCCAGTCGTCAGAGTCACTTGTCTAGTGTCGAGTTTGGTTCCCATTCCGAGGAACCGGATGGGACTGAGAATACATTCGATGAGACGTTTGATTCGGTGGTTCCTAGCTATCATGGTGACCAAGACGACACTTCTCAGTATTTGAAGCCGTCGCCGAGTCTTGGTACTGTCAGTCGACACCTCTCGGCTGAGACAGGGCTCGACAGCGGACGACACAGTCGAGCCAGTGAAAGTTCCTATGGACGATTTGACCCGATCCAGAGCCCACGGAGCCTATGCACCTGATCGGGTGTTTTTTTTTATTTTACGACTGAACGACCAAAAGGGTTTGACTTTGACTTTCTCTTTTTCTCGCCAGAGTTATTATGCTTTCTACCATTTTGATCAAGATTGCAATGGCTTACTTTCTTCCAAAAAATGGCGTCTTTATTTACAGGAAAAGCTAAGATTGCGAGGATTGCAAGGTCTGTTCTTTTCTTAGACGAGAGTTGGATCAACGGTCTCCCATCTCGAGTAGTAGAATGCGTCAGCTTGTTAGGCAGGAAGTTTCATTTAGTCTAGGTCGAAGAACGTGTTCTGTTCAGATAAATGATTCTACGTCTGCTACTGTCGGTTCCGTTTATTGTTCATTCGAATCAAGATTCATCTCTCGGATCTTCTTTCGAATGAATCAGGTTTATCGGTGGCACGGCAGAACAAATTACACGGGAAAAAAGGGGTCATCAGGGTGGCAGGCAGGGGGCTAGAAGTGTGCCATGCCATTCACTACACATACACATACATTGAATATCTTTATAGCATAATCCATGTTATTTATTAGATCGAAAGGCAGTATAAAATACATCTATCATACAGAGCTTCATTCATTCATTCATATATGCAACATACTACTAGAATCTAGTACATACATACATACGTTCCTACCTACCTACCTACCTACCTTCCACAGGAAGTATTTTCTTTTCTTTTTCATATTTCCTACTAGCCCAGACCCAAAGCCACGGTCCATCCGCACAAGCCATGCCACTTGCAGTCAAGTAAGGTAAGTCATATTAGCTCTTGCATACCTCTCGGCTGTGACACTTATAGTTAATCAGTCAATCAGTCCATTAGTAACATAACAACAGCAGCCCATATAATGACACTTGACATTGACAGGGTGCCATGGCCATGTGGATCGGAAAGAAAGCAAAGTAAATTTTAAAATTAGACAAAAAGGGCCCGAACGAAAACTTGCTGCTGCTGCACGACACACACACACACACACACACACACACACACACACACACACACAAGTCCAACGAACGAACGAACGTAGTTTGTTTGGGTTGAGGCTGGGGTTGGACCCGGCCGGGGAAGACGGGACGAGATGCACCTGCATATGTATACTCCGTACGGAGTATGTCTCGTCTTTGAATAATGACATTGTTCTTTTTTTTTGGTTTTCGTTTTCGGGGAAATTCCGAGAGTTCAATTACAAACGAAATCAGTAGCTTAGCTACCTAGCTAGCTGCCTAGCTAGATCAGATCCCTATGATCCCTATAAAAACAAAAAAAAACAAATCCTAGCTATTTTTATTCCCTCATCATATTTATTAAGAGTGTATCCTATAAAACAGGCAGGCACATACATTACATACAAGGAATACAAGGAACTAGATCTACTCTGTAAGTGCGCACGCGGTAGGGAACCAGGTTGTTGGGTCTGGTCTGGTTATCTACTAACCTATACCTAACCTAACCTAACCTAACTAGGGGTCGTACATACATGACATGAAGTTTAGCAACAAATACCAAAAGCGGTAAAACAAAAAACAAAGATTCATTACTTCCCCTGCTTGGCATGCATACCTAGGTCTCTCTGGTCTGGTCCGGTCTGGAAGGAGGAGAGAAAGAAAGAGCCTACATACAGCCTGGAATTCGGAAGTTTAGCTCTCATGTCATGTCAGAACAATAATAATCATAATAATGATTGATTGATTGATAGTAATCAAACTTTAAATAATGTGAGCAACTACCTAAACTGTACATACAGTACAGTACAGTGTATCTAGTAACTGGCAGGGTCCACGAGGCCCACGAGGTCCACTATTATGGAGACAAGGCAATTCAATTTAGCTAGGTAATAGGTGAGGTACTGGTACACAGAGGGCTAGGCGGGGCAAAGTCAAATTTTAATCCCCAAAGGTTGTTTCTTTCCCGGAAGTGAGTTCCTGACGAATCGTATGCATAATAAACGAGTACATGTAGACAGAATAAGCTAAGGTAACCATCTACATCTATCCATCTTATCTGTCGATAGCGATGTTACTTACCCCGTACTGTTCTGCTACTCCAGATCTATCTCTACCTTTTCTTACCAGATCAGGAAGGACAAAAAAAGAAGAAAGAGGACGGTTAGAAGAGGCAACTCGGCGAGTCATGTACATACCATACGTATGTGTGTATGTATGCACCCAGCTACGTAGTAGCAGGTAGCATTACTTGGCTGCTCGCTTCTCGACCAGATCAAAAACGTTGAAAAACTTCCTTTCTTGAACTTCCTTTCTTGGGGATCGTAGGTTC